TAAACATTACCTGCTCCAAAGCGCAATATCAGCGTTAATCTTTGGTCAGATGAAAGGCGCACCGATAGGTTTATGACCAGCGCGAACGCCGGGATGGGACAAAGAGTTTAAGTCTTCAAACACGACCTTACGGTAAAGCTGTGGAAAAACAAGAAGAGGAGTACCTGTGGACCAGTCGCATAAGATCGTTGCTGGGGATGCTGGAAGTGGAGCATAGTGAAGTTGTTGCGCTGAAGAGACACGTATCTCCATGACGGACTCATCGTGCGGTTGCATGTTTGCTAGCTTCGCCAGGTCCAACTCGGCTGTAAGGGTGTTGATATCAGGACGGGAAAGAGCGACGGCATCAACCTTGTCGCCGTCACGGACATAGCGGATGTCCGAAGTAAATTGTGATATATAATCGAGATGAAACACTTCTCTTGGCGAATACCAATCTGACTTGACCTGGAGGGCGTAAGTGAGAAGTTTGTGATCCGTATGGATCTTAAATTCTCTGCCCTCCAAAAGGTGGCGAAAATGTTGCATAGCCATGTAAAAGACGAGGATTTTTCCGATGGAAGGTATTGTTTGGGCCGCGTGGCGTAAACCGAAAGGCATGCGAAGAATCTCGAAAAGACCAACTAGCCTCATGAAAGCAATCTTGAGAATGACCTCCTTCGCGACCGGTATTTGGTGACATGATCTACCGAAATCAGTCTTGGAGAAAATGATCTCTCCCGACAGAATATGCGAAACATCATGAATGTGGGGTATCGGATACCTGTCCGGGACCGTGCCGACTGTAAAAACAAAACCAAATATTTTTCTGAGTTCTTTCGTTTGGTTTTCACCACAGAAACTGCCTTCGTCACAACTTGTGACGAGATCGCGGGAGAGCCAAATATAGAGGACATTGTGTTTGGAGAAGAAACGATTTTTCAAGAACTAAAAAGCTTGAAGGAATGTAAATCTCCCGGTCCAGATGAGATTCCTGCGAACTTGTTCCATGAAGTTGCTAGAGAGCTGGCTAAACCGTCATCCATGATGTGGCAGCAATCATTTGGTACTGGAATTCTTCCCCCAGACTGGAAAACAGCGCACATTACACCGCTTTACAAAAGTGGTATTCGTGCACTTGCGGAAAAATACAGACCCGTCAGTCTGACCTTCATTGCTGTAAGTTTATGGAGAGGATCATCAAAAAGGAATTGATGACATAATGTGAAATTCACAACATCTTGTCCAATGCGCAATATGGCTTTCGTAGGGGTAGGTCGTGCGTTACGAACTTGCTTTACATGATG